AAAAAAAAAAAAAAAAAAAAAAAAAGAAAGGAAAAAAAACTTTAAAAAAAAAAAAAAAGGAAAAAAACAATTAATTAAGGTGGGCCAGAAGCGTCGGCGAGGCGAGTGGCGCAGAGTCACGGCACGCAACATATTTTTACCAAGGTTTTTCAAATATTCAGTCCTCCCCCTCCCTCCCCCAACCAACCACCTACCCACCCATCGATTCCTAATATAATAAACGAGCAACTTTAATAAAATAAGAGAAGAGAATGAGAAAAGAACAAAAAATGGTCACGTACTCGCGCGCCACTGTTTGCCTCCGCGCCATTTTCTTAGCATGCGGCCATAAATCGGTCATCGAACGGTCAAATCGATCTCGCACGATCTCGTTGTGTTCAAGAATGCTACCGTATCTTCGTATAAAAAAAAAAAAAAAAGAACAAAGAAAAAAAAAGAAAAAAAATTGGGAGAAACAAACGAGAGTGAGGAAAGAGCAAGAAGAAAGCTTTCCCGTAGGAAAGACACGAATGCGTCGTTGTAACGAGTGAATTGACGAATTATTAAAAAAAAATTAGTAGCGAGAGAGAGAGAGAGAGAGAGAGAGAGAAGATGTGAAATGACGATCGCGCGATGTTTCATACGAATTTTTTCAACAAGTTCGATTTTTCTAAAAGCTAGATCCTCGTACGCTGTCCTATGTCACTGGAACGTCGTCGTTGATAAACTAGAGAAAGAAACAGTAACAAAGAGAAAGAGACAGAGAGAGAGTGACAAAGAGAGAAATAATCGTTGTTTCAAATAATTAATTTTTTTCGAACGTTTGACGACCGAGCTGTGGCTATTTTCAATTAGTCGAGTCGAGAAATGAAACGGCGAGGATAAGGCAGTATAATGATATTAACCGATCGCCATCATATGACGCCAACGTCCTCTTCGAATTTCATTCCTCGACTTCGACACCTGCGTATCCTAATTTTTTCAATGTCCACGAGAGGACGAAGAGTCGAGCAGAAGCGTGTACAGTGGGGGTGATTGGTTACTATAATATGAATAAAAAAAAAAAAAAAAAAAAAAAGAGAGAAAAAGGAAAGTCAGTTCCCTAATCCCAGTTCCCTTTGAACTTTTCCACTTTTTGAGAGAGAGAGAGAGAGAGAGAGAGAGAGAGAATGAAAGATCACCCTCGATCGCTCCCGATATCCTTCTTCCTCCTATTTTTAATGTCCATTCGAACACATTTTTTAGGAGCTCCTCGAATGTCGGCCCGAAATGGAAACGAGGCAAGCAAGAAAAGAAAAAGGGTGAAAACAAGGGAAACTAAGCTTCTAAATGAATTTAAA